AAAAGGCAGAGGCCAGATGGGGCTGTTGAAGGGTGAGTGGGTTTTGCTGACCACCCCTTGGCTCTCCAGCTCACGGATCATCTTGTGGATGGGGATCACGGCATCTCGATTCGTCCGGTACTGCCAGCGGTGCACTGTTGAGGTAGCAATTGGCACCTGTTGTTTTTCACCCTGAGGAGTCCCACTGCAGATGGGTTTTCTGATAGCCCAGGCAGGGTGTTCAACTGCTTAATGTCCTCTGCTGCCACAGCAGCTATTCCAAAAGCCCACCTGAGTTCCTTTGGGTCTTTGTAATAGCCGTTCCTGAGGAAGTCTATGCCTAGGATACATGGTGCCTCTGGGCCAGTCACAATTGGATGTTTCTGCCATTCTTTCCCAGTCAGGCTCACCTCAGCCTCCAGCAAAGTCAGTTCCTGAGATCCCCCTGTAACCCCGGCAATTGAAACAGGTTCCTTCCCGACATGTCCTGATGGTATTAATGTACACTGTGAACCAGTGTCAACCAATGCTCTGTGTTCCTGTGGCTCTGATGTTCCAGGCCATCGGATCCACACCGTCCAAAAGATCCGGTTTTCCCGTGCCTCTCCCTGGCTAGAGGCAGGGCCCCTCTAGCCCTGGTTATTATTATTTCTCTCCTGGGCATACATACTGGAGGTTCTTTCAAGGGGATCTGACAGATCATCCTCTCTTCTGTAATACCCTGCACCTCCATGGGAGGCTGAGGCTACCTTCACTTTAGTGGAGTTCCCTCTGTTGGTGTTCCCCTCCCTGAGTTGGCGCACCCGTGCTGCAGGACAGAAGTGGGTTTCCCATCCCACCTTCTCATGTCTTCCCCGTGGTCACGCAGAAAGAACCACAGGTCAGCACGTGGGGTGTACCCTCTCTCCCTAGCTGGGGGATTTTGGGGTCTGACTTTGGGGTCTGTGACTAGCACTGGTGCTGCATTGATCTTATTCATCTCCTCCCTCATCTCCCTCATCTCCTCTTTAAACTCCTGCTTGAGTTCCTTAATCACAGCAAAGATATGAGCCTGCATTGGGCTCATACTCTTGTAATTTCTAAGCTTGTTGGCAACAGAACCCACTGTCACTTAGTTGGTATCAGCATTAATCGTTGCAATAAATGTGGTATATTGAGATGAGCCCAGGTTTGCCAGATTTCACAACATCTCCCCTGTGCACCTGAACTTGTCAGGGTCATTGTCATGCTGTCCATCCCTCCCAAAGAGCACCTCCAGTACTGCCACTTCTCTCAGCTGTTGGATCCCTTCCTCAAGGGTCTTCCAGCACATTCTATGATGGTGCTCCTGCATCGTCTCTCTTTGAACAAACCTTTCTCTCACACTCCTTAAAAGCTCCCAGAGGGAAAGGGGCTCTGGATCCCTTATGAATACCTGATCCACCCCAGAGTCCTGGGTCAAGGATCCCAAATTCCTTGCCTCAGTACCATCCAGTTGCATACCTGTACCCATAAGGTCCCAGACTCGAAGTAGCCAAGTTGTATAAGCCTCATGCCCCCTTTGTTCAATGTCTTTTCACAGATTACGGAGACTCTCGTATGACAGAGACTCGGTGATGATTTCAACTTCTGGCTCCCCTGCTGGTTGTGAGGGCCCGCCTTTCTCTTTCCTTGTTTTCATCTTAGACTTCTTTGTTTCCACAGGGGCGACTGCTGCTGGCTGTGAGTGCCCTTGCAGTTCAGCTGGAACCTGGACAGATGTAACGTCTGTGGGTCCCACTGCTGCACCATCAGACTTTAGGGCCTTTAGGGCAGGGGGAAGGTTTCTCACCAGCTGAGAAAGTGTATTCCTTCAGCACCTGGTGTATCTTCTCCTCCATTACCCCCATCCAATCTGGGTGGTTTATTTCTGAGGTGGGCTTTGGGGTAGGGTCAGGCTGTGGGGCAGCACCCCTAGTCTCTGGGGCAGGTGTCTGTGTGGTTATCCAAGTCGACTTTACCCTGTCTCTGAATGCTAAATACACTGGGACTAACAGCAACATTTGGTTAGTATCTAGAGAAAATTTAAACCCTTCAAAAGCTGGTGAGATAGGCAAAAAGAATTGAAGGGTTGAAGGGTTGGGAGAAAACTTCCCCTGCTGTCATTTCCTCATAGTAGGTACCATTCTAATGTAACCTCAAAAACATACATTTAGTCTCTGATAGCCACGTATCCATGTGCCTGCCTTCCAAAGGAAGTTAAAAATCCATTAATTCCTCACCTTGTCAATCCACAAAACAAACTGGATAACAGCTACAGTGGCCTTAGTTATAGGACCCATATTTAGATAAGGGCCTGCAAATGGGAGAGATATAGCTGTGACCATGTGGAGCCTGAACCAGGGTAAGCTAGACCACATGGTGCCACCTAATGAGGTTTCTATATTCAGCACACAAAAATCAGGTTGCTCAAGAACTGTTACTCCTTTTTCACCCTTTTTCTTTCAATGCCCTTGGGCCCCATGCTTGGGCGCCAAAATCTGTTGCGATTTGAAAGACTGGTAGGGAAGGCAGAAACCTCCCCTGGATTGGAGAATGTAAAACCCCTCCCTTCGATTATTATGATGAAAATGTCAAAGATATGAGGATAGGAATCACAGTTCTTTACTAGTATGTATAACAAGGCAAACAAAACAACAACAGCTATGGAATTAACACCAAACAGAACCAGGAACCCAGTTCCAGTCCTCTCGGCCGCGGGCACTGTCCCCTTGGGTGCAGTTCCCACTGCCGGCAAAGGGCGCTGGTGGCTCCTGGTGGACAGGGCAGGGACGGTGATTTCCCCCCGCCTGCAGGGGGCGCTGTGGGCAGGGGCGGTGATTCCCCCCACCCCACCCCGCGCCTGCAGGGGGCGCTGTGGGCGGGCTCGGGGGCACGCGGTGGTGGCTGCTGGGCCCGGACGGGAAGGGATGGGAGAGGCTTTGCTCACGAACCCTGGAGCAGGGTTGGTCCCAGTGCCCCAGCAGGACTCCCTTAAGGCAGCAAGCTGAAATGGCAGGATGTCCTGGCAGGGCAGGCGTGGGGGATTCAGCAGCAGCAGCAGAATGCAGCTCCCGGCTGGGCTATGGCAGTGGTAGCAGCGACCCTCCTCCACTGAAGCCAAGAGTGAACGAGAGCCAGCAACTGCCCCCCGCTCTCCTTCTACCTGCTTCTCATCTCCCTGTGTCTCTGTCCCTCCGAGACAAATTCCCAAAAACTACAGGGCTTCCCCCTCCACCGTCTCAAGTACTTAGCCATCAGTGCTTCTTTAGCAACTCAGTGGGAAAAATTCCACAGGTAACAAGTAAAAGAAAACCCAACCCCCAACACCAGCCCAGATTTGTGTGGAAAGGCGGCAGGATGGCTCAGAAGACGAGTATCCTCAAGCTGGAGGAGCAGCTGCTCTGTCCCATCTCTCTGGAGGTGTTGAAGGAGCCACTGATGCTGCAGTGTGGGCGCTTGTCCTGTCAGCCCTGCATACTGTCCCTCCCCAGGGTGTTGGAGGGGCAGCTCCCGTGCCCCGTGTGCTACCAAGGAGTGGCCTGCCGTCCCCTGGCACCCAGCATTGTGGGACCATGGCATCGAGGTGCTGTGGAGAGGGCCGAGGGCAGAGCCCACTTCAGAGTCTTGCCCAATGCACCCCACAGATGCACAGGCATAGAATCATGGAATGCTTTGGCTTGGAAGGGACCTTAAAGATAATCTCATTCTACCCCCCTTGGGCACGGACACATTCCATTAGACCAGGTTGCTTCAAGCTCCATCCAACCTGATCTTGGACATTTCCAGGGATGGGGCAGCCCCAGCTTCTCTGGGCAACCTGTATCAGGGCCTTTTCACACTCACAGGGAAAAATCTCTTCAATATATCTAACTTAAATTTCCCCTTTTTCAGCTTGAACACATTTTCCCTTGATCTATCCAGTTCCTGATGAAAAGTCCTTCTCCAGCTTCCTAGTAGACCCCTACAGATACTGGAACTTTCTCTTCTCCAGACTGAACAGCCCAGCTCTCTCAGCTTATCTCAGTTAAGGCTGCGGCAGAGTTGTCCTCCTATAGAAACCATGGTGCTGCACAACAAGGTCCATCAGTACAGGAGAATCCTGAATGTGCCTTTCCAACTTCTGGCCCTGCACAGACACCCCAGTAATCCCACCTTGTGCATGACAGCGCTGTACAAATGCTGCTGGAGCTCTGGCAGCCTTGGGGCTGTGAGCATTCCCTGGGGAGCCTGTGCAGTGCCCAGCACGCTCAGGGGGAAGAACCTTTCCCTGATACCAAACTAAGCCTTCCCTGAGAGCGACAGAGCTCCAGCCATTCCCTCGGATCCTGTCACTAGGATGAGATTCTTACACCATTTGATTGTTCAGGTAGAAGATGACTGATCCCCAGCACCCACTGCTAACCCTTCAGACCCTGCAAAGCAACTCTCACCTGGATCCAGGTGTTCCTGGAGCAGGTCATGCTGGAGTGACTGATCCATTGCACCAGATGGTTCTGGGACAGTTTCAAAGCCATGTCCAGGTTGCTGGGATACTGCCCTACGGTGGCTGTCCTGGGGTATCCTTTACCCTCCATATACAGCTCTGAGCTTCCCAGAGCAGATCCCCCTTTCTCAGAGCAGATCCCTTTCCGGGTGCAGACTCCTCTTTCCAGGGCTGGGCATCCTTTGCTCTGTTTGAGTGAAGCAGGAATACCACCAAAGTCTGCAGCAAATCCCTGCCAAACCATCACCCGCAGGGTATCACAGAGTCTCACAATCAGTAGTAACGTTAGTGTGCTTCCACATTAAGGGAGCGGATGGGGTGTCCGGGGCTGGTGACCAGGGTCACCGGGGTGACAGAGGTGGCCGGGCTGGCCGGGGTAACCAGGGTGACCGGGCTGGCCGGGGTCATTGCGAGGATGGTGTAGACCCTGGTCCCCCGCTCCGCTCCCCGCCCTCCGCCCCGGCCACCGAGCCCGGGGCGGGGCCGCGCTCGCCCCCTGTTGCCCCGGAGGCCCCGGCGGAAGCGGCGCGGGGCGCACATGGCGCTGTACAGCGCGGCGGCCGCGGTGCTGGCGGGGTTGGAGCGCGGCGAGGGCGGCCTCAAGAGCCTCGTGTACAACAGCGGCTTCCCGGTGCGCCCGGAGGGAGCGGGGGTGCGGGGCGGACGGGGGACAATCCCAGCCGGGAGGGCGAGAGGAGCCCCGGGGCCCGGCGCGGGCCCGGTGGCGCTCATGGCTGACCGCTCCGCAGCACGTCCGCCAGCTGTACGCGCTTGTGTCCGAGACCCTCCGCTACGCCTCGGTGCTGGAGAAGCTGCTGGATGGAGCCGCGCTGCTGCAGGCCGAGAAGAAGCTGGCGCCGCAGCTGGCGAAGGTACGGGCATCCGCGGAAACCCCGGTGTCCCTGGAGCCGCGGGGCTTGGGCAGCGGGCCCGGGCTCACCTCGTCCCCTCCCCGCAGGTCCTGGTGTATGACCTGCTCTTCGGCAAGGGGCTGAAGTGCGGGGGCCGCTGGAAGGCTCTGGCCCGGCGGCACCGGGCGCGGCTGGAGGCCGAGCTGGCCCGCTTGAAGGTGCGGCACAAGGTGAGCCGCAACGAGGACCTGCTGTCCCCAGAGAAGGCGGAAAGCGCCGCAGGTGAGTGGGCTCGGGCTGGGTGGCCGCCCTGTGCTGGGAGCAGTGGGGAGCTGTGTCTGACCTGTCTGGCCCCTGCAGCCTCCCAGGTCCCACGTTACGTCCGGGTCAACACCCTGAAAACTTGTGTAGACGATGTGATCGACTTCTTTAAGCGCCAGGGATATGCATACCTGGGCAAGGCAGCCAGGTGAGTATTTCTGCTATCCCACCTTTCCCAGAATGTCAGCAAGTCACATGGGATGAGGTTTGAAGAGTTTCTGAACTTGGTGCTCAGAGTGGTTGGGTTGGGGTCTCCATCACTCCTCACACTTAGATGCTGCCTATCTGGGTGCTGCCTGGAGCTGGAGAGGAGCTGTGGGATGAAGGGGTTTCTCAGTCTGGGCTCTGCTGTGATCATTGGGATTAGGACTTTGAATGAATACATGCTTCCTGTGTCTCATGGACAGTGTGGAGGAGCTGAAGGCCCTTTCCGGAAAAAAATTCTTGTTGGATCTGCATCTCCCGGAGCTGTTGGTTTTCCCTTCACAGACAGACCTCCATGACAACCTGCTGTATACTTCAGGACACATAATTCTGCAGGACAAGGTGAGGGAACTGGAGAGCAGGAAGTTGCAGGGCAGGAAAACTACTGACAGGATAAAGAGTGAACTTCTTCCACAATGGCTCAGCTTGCTGCAGCATTTAAGGCTAAGCAAAAACTATGGGACTCCTCTGGGCCTTTGCTTCCATTGTTTGGAGGTTCAGGATGAAATCCTGAGGTATAGAACCCCTGTGGGAGCTGAGGAGGAGCAGGGGGCTGTGGGTTGGGCAAGGCTGTTGATGGAGAGTGTTGGTGGCCTTGGCCCTGTGTCATGGTGGTCCCTGTGACCCCACAGCATCAGCCATGCCTGAGGAGGGGCCAGGTGTTTCTGCCCCCTCTTCTGTCAGTCTTTGCCCTCTTGCAGGCCAGCTGCCTCCCTGCCTTCCTCCTTAGCCCTGTTGCCGGCTCCCACATCATTGATGCCTGTGCTGCCCCTGGAAACAAGACAAGCCACCTGGCTGCCATCCTGAAGAACAAGGGGTGAGGGCAGGGTTGTGTGCAGGGGTGGAGGGAAGGGGAGAGGTGGCCCTGGTTCCCCCGAGCCCACAGAGAGCACAAGAAGGTGGCAGGAGGAGCTGCAACCTGCCACCAACTCAGGTGAGCTGGTGGCTCTGACAGTTCTGGGCCACTGGAAGGACCTGAGGGCACATGAAGTCACACAGGGCTTCACTCCCAGCCCCTGGCCCTGTTCCATACCCATGCCAGAGGGGAGGCAGTTGTCAAGGTCTGCCTTCCTAGTATTTGAGTGTTCCTGGCGGCTAGGTGGTCTGTTCATGGCTTCTCTTGGGTGCTGGGCTCTGCCTTTAGACAGATCTTTGCCTTTGATGTGGACCCCAAGCGCGTGGCCACCATGAACACGCTGCTGACACGGGCAGGGGTCACTGGCTGCCAGCTGGCCCAGCAGGATTTCCTGACTGTGGACCCCAGAGACCCCAAATACAGCAGGGTGACCCACATCCTTCTTGACCCATCCTGCAGTGGTTCAGGTAATGTGTGAGGCTCCAGCTGCACACCTAGAGCCGGGCTGTGGGTGTGCAAACCCCAGGTGACAGATCCTGTCCCACAGGGATGGTGACCCGGGGGCCAGGGGAGGAGGCGGCCTCGAGTGCTGAACGGTTGCAGGCCCTGGCTGGCTTCCAGCGTCGGGTCCTCAACCATGCCCTGAGCTTTCCAGCTCTCCAGCGCCTGGTCTACTCCACCTGCTCCTTACACCAGGAGGAGAACGAGGATGTGGTGCAGGCTATGCTGCAGAAGTGGGGCTCGGCCTTCAGGTGGGTCTGGCTCAGGGAGCCTGGAGGGCTGTAGGGCAGGATTTGGTGCTGACCCCTTTTCTATGCTGCAGACTGGTGACTGCCTTCCCGTCCTGGCCCTGCCGAGGACTCGCTGCCTTCTCTGGAGCAGAGAGCTGCCTCCGTGCTTCCCCTGCAGAGACCCTCACCCATGGCTTCTTCGTGGCTGTGCTGGAGCGGTGCAAGGAAGGGGCTGCTGCCCCCAGGTGAGAGGGGCTCTGGAAGACTCCAGCTGCTTCTGGGGGGCCACCATGGCCAAGGTCAGCACTCTGGGCACCCTGGGGAGGGTGTGAGGGGTGTGGTTGTGGGAGCAGAGGGCAGTGGCAAATGTGGCTCAGGCTGTTTGCTCTTGTCCACAGCTCCCTGCCTGCAAGAGCCAAGGAGAACCCAGAGCCAGGAGAGGGAACGGAGCCAGGTGCCGCTCCCAAAAAGAGGAAAAAGAAAAAGCAGCGGGTGAAAGAATGAAACGTTTTCTGGTCAAAACCCTGCACAGCTGGGCCTTGTGGGGAACACACACTGGTCTAAACACAAGTCAAGCTCTGTGCCAACTGCAGTCATAGTGAGAATTCTGTAACACCAGGACTGAGTGCCAACACTGGGACCACCCTGGTGCTGGGAAGGGGCAGCTGCTCACCCAGGGCTGCCCACTGCAGCCAGCCCCTGCCCCAGGTTTGCCCTCAAGGCAATCCCCACTCCACACCCTGCAAGGCTGGGGTCCTCTAGCTGGATTAAGGGTGGTTTATCATGTTCCCCCCTGAAAAATTCCAACCCCGAGCCTGATGTGGAGCTTTGAAAAAGCATTTCACTGCAGAGATGAAGCAGATTAAAAGTTTATCTCTCTTCACTGTCTTTTCCAGTGTGTTTGTGCAGTCTTGCCCTGAAATTGCCACTGCTTATAGCAGAGGCAAAGTGGGGGGAAAAACGTAAAATAATAATCCTGTCCCTGCACCTCTCTTTGAACGAGGGGAGCAAGGATACATGAGTCAGAGGGTGCTGCACCTGAACCTCACCAGCACCACCCTGCCCTGGGAATCCCAGCCCCAGGAATCACAAACTGGCACAGCCGTGTGAACACAGTCATTTTATTTTAAACCAGGGACATAAGAAGCAAGGAAACAAAAATTACACATTCACACTAAAATCCTCATCAGCCACACCAGGAATGATCCAAGTCTTCAGTCAGTTAAAGCCTAGCCTCCCCCCAAGCACAAGGGGCTCTCCCAGCAGGACCTGTGTGGCAGGGAAGGGACAGCCTGGCTCCTCATGGGTGTGTGGGCCTACGTGGGATAGCTACTTGGGGGGCAGGACCCAGAGCCAGGGTGCCCTCAACCTTGTCCCAGCTCATCCCCATCTTTGCAGAGCTGACTTGGCCAAACCCTGGCACCTCGAAGATGGGGAGTGGGTGCACTCCTGACCCGGGACCCTCACTGGGACAGAGGGAAGGACACACAGGGTCCATCCTGGCAGGCACTAGCCCCTTGCCATCTGCTTCCTCCAACCTCAAGGACACATTTTTCCCAGCCTGGCTGCTCTTCGCCCACTGCACCCGCAGCCATGGTGGTGGGTAATGGTCAGAACATTCCCACCAGCACCTGCAGGTCCTCTATGTTCCCTTATGCTGGGACTGTGTCCCCTCTGTACCACACAGAGCTCATCACCTGCCCTTACTGCTGGGATAGACACCTTGACCCTGGCACTCAGCACCATAGTGTGAGAGCTCCTGCTCCTCACCCTCAGAGAAATAATGAAAAAACTTTAAAAAACAAAAAAAGGTTTAGTCACATCCACATCCACATCACATTGAAAAGGAAGGGGATGATGTACAGTGGGGGGAGGGTGGCAGAGCCTGCAGGATGCAGCTGCCTTTCCCAGCACAATGCATTCCCGCAGGCACAGCCAGGGTGGGAACAGCTAAACACTAACAGCTGCGGGGAGGCAACTTCACTGAACCAAGCTTGAAGGAATTTGAAGGCAATTTATCTTAAATATAAAAATAAATTTTTATTTTGTTAAAAAATGTTTAAATATTTGTGATTTTTTTTTCTTGTTTTTTTTTTGTTTTTTTATTTTTTTTTAAATTTAGACCTCAGCAAACACACACACTCACACGGCTCAGAGAGTAAAAACCCGGCAGCAAAGCATTCCTGGGAATGGAGTGCCCATCCCTCACCAGGGACAGGGCTGGGGTGACTCTTTGGCGACCCCCAGCTCTGGCAGTCTCTTCCCACAGAAGCTCCAAGGCAGAGAAGAGTGGGATTCCCACTCCTGACTGGATGGGGACAGGGGAGGCAGCACCACAGTTCCTAGGAGCCAGTAAAACTCACTGGGATGGACATGAACTGAAAAATGAAAAACCACTTGGCTTTGGGATGGGAGGGAGAATGCATCTGCTCTGGACTCTTTCTGTGAGCAATTGCTCACAGAAATTCCAGAGCCCCCTGAAGTGCAGAAGAGGAACTAGGAGAGAGGGAAAGGGAGGGAGTGACTGCCATGGTTGGAACCCCCTGTCCTAGCTGCCTTTCAGTCACAGACATGGAAGGGACAACTCCCCAGCACGAGCAGCCACGCAGTGATGCTACTGTCAACACCCAATTAGCCGGGGCACGTCTCCCCCCAAGGACTGGTGCCCCCCCAAAAAAACTCCAAACAGCAAATCCGGCATAACCAACATGCCGCCACACACACGGTTCAGTTCTTCCTCCAAACTCGATTCAGTGAGTGCAGGAACAGAAGCATGGATAAAGCAGAACTGGGGAGTAGGGTGGGGGCAGCCCACAGGCCCAGGGAGTAGTGGAGACGGAACAGGGGTGGGGGAACCCCCATCCTCACCACCCTGTGCCTCCAGCCCAGGTCCCGGGCTATGGCATGTCCTCAGCTGGAGGTAGCAGGACATTAGGTCCCAGCAAGGGATATCACCCAGCTGCACCCATGCCAGTCACTTGGGGCACAAAACAGAGCCAGGCTGGAACCCGCCCTGCCTGTAGGCATGGGACCATGTTCACCAGCCACGGGTTGAACAATGGGAAACATTTCAGGACCTGGTGAAGGCCGTGTCTGACAGCAGCTCGGAACCATGTTGCCAGCCAGGCTCTGAGCAGGACATGGCCTTGGGGCTGGCTGAGGGCTGGGCAGGGCCACAGAAACAGCTAGAAGCAAATGGGGGAAACGTACACATTATTAAACAAGGCAAAACAAATTGAGGGAAAGAACATTGCGGATATGTACAGAGATTTGTCCAGCCTTGGCTCTGGAACTGTTCAAGTAACAAGAGTTTGGTTTATCCCGTCCCAGCATGGTCTCTGGTGGGTGTCAGGGATGGGGCCTGGTCCCACCATAGGGACAGCTCCAGGCCAGAGCCCCCCACATGTGGGCCAGTGGAGCCCAGCAGCACTCGGGTTACTTTTTGCGGGTGTGCTGTCTCCGTGCCTGCAGCCGTTGTCGAGTGCCCATCTTGGATCCTGCCCCGATGGAAAAGGTGGGAGTGGATGAACCTGGAAGCAGAAAGGTTGCTCACGTCTCTGTAGCTTTGGGATCAGTGCGATTCTCACCCTGTGAGGAACAGAAGGCTCGGCACTGCCCAAAGTCCAGCAGGTACCACCTGAGCCATCTCCCAGAGCATACCTGGCCCTACCACTGTCCCCAGCCCAAGGGGACATCATGACCCGTGAGCTCCCCAACACTGGAGCACCAACTCCCTCTTACCAAAGGAAGTGCCGACCCCTCCGAAGCTCGAGGCAGGAGTGCTGGGTGTCCTGAAGGAAAGGGTGCTGCTTCCACTGCCCACAGCTCCAGGGACAGGTGTGCCCTGCCCAAAGGTGGGCACTGGAGCTCCTGGAAAGCAACAGGTCACTGTGAGCCAGGGCTGGCAAAGCAGAAAGAGCTTTTGGGAGCCAGTGGCACCCAGAGGCACAGGATGCTCTCTGGGGGCTGAAGCACCACAGTCCTTCCCCCAGAATCAGCCTCTGCTCCTGAAAAGCCTTTTTAATGCGAAAGTTACATTCTCTGGATAATCCCTGGGCTCTCCGAACAGCAGGGCTGCATAGAAGGATTTGCCAGGGAGGAACGAAGACCTTGGCCTTTCTAGATCAAGGAGTTGTTCATTGGGTGCACTTCAGTTCCATGGGAGCCGGAAATATCCAGCGAGGATCTGAAGTGTTAGGGAAACCTAACAAGCACGAAGTGATGGCAGTTGCTGGCTGGCACCATTCCAGCTTGCTAAGGTGCTCCAGGTGGCTGCTAAGGACTCAGGTGATCTTGGCTCCTGCAGGACACTTGGATGGGCAGAGTTGGGGAGCTGGTGCCAGTGAACAGTTTAGGGACTCCCCTCCCCCGATGGCCAGGATTCTTACAGGGAGTGATGGGAGTGCCTTCCCTTTGCATGGCAAGGTTCTGCATAGCAGGAGCACTGGCCTCATCAGGGCTGTGGACCTGGGAACCTTGGCAGATCCATCAGTAATACGACTGCCCAACTCTCGACCCTCAAGATGGCCTGTCTGTCCCCACCTCATCCTGGAAATGTTCAAGGCCATGTTGGACAGGACCCTGGGCAAGCTGGTCTAGTGGAGGGTCTCTCTGGCCTAGGCAGGGGGGTAGATCAACATGACCTTTATGGTCCCTTTTCCATGACCCATTCCATGATTCCATGATGACTTACCTCCAAATGCAGGCTTGCTGTTGGGAGTGCTGGTCATGGTGAAGGCAAAGGGCGTGCTCTGGCCCTGTACTCCCAGGGCACTCTGTGGCAGAGATGAGCCAAAGGGCGTCACTGCCGGGGCTGCCCCGCTCTGCCCAGCCCCAAAGCTGAAGGCCACAGCCGGAGACCCAGTGCTCAGGCCCGGCGTACCCATCCCAAAGGCGCTGGTGGAGGGGCCTGGCTGGGTGGTGGCCCCGAAGGTGAATGGAGATGGGGTGGTGCCAAAGACAGTGGCACTGGTGCTGCTGCTTGTAGTCTGGGTGGTGGCACCAAAGCTGGATGTGGTGGAGGTGGCTGTTCCAAAAGAGAACACCGAGGTGGTGGTCCCGAATGCTGCCTGGGTGCTGCTGGTGCCAAAGGAGCCCTGGGCACTAGTTGTGCCGAAGGCTGGCAGGGCACCACTGCCAAATGCTGGCTGAGCCACTGACTGTGCTGGGGGAGCTCCAAAGCTGAATGAGGGGGTGAAGCTGATGGGGCCAGCAGCAGGCTTGCTGGCAGGCACCTGGCTCTCAGCAGCCCCAGTGCTGAAGGTGAGCTGGCTCCCAGTGCCTGTGTATGGTGGTGGTGGCTTTGTGCTGGCTGAAAAGCTGCCAAAAGCTGAAACGGAGGAGCCGAATGTCAGCGGTGCTTGAGCTGTGGTGGCTGGGGCAGAGGAGGTCAGTGTAGTGCTCCCAAATATGCTAAAGCCCACAGTGGTGGTAGCAGCTATTGAGTTTGTAGGTACCTGGCCAAAGGCAGGGCCTCCTGGGACACTGGTGGTGGCAGTGGCTGTAGCTGGAGGCGGCTTCCCAAACTGGAACACAGGCCCTGAGGTGGCAAAGCTGGCTTCTGTGCTGGGAGCAGAGCTGGTGAGGCCCCCAAACAGCAAGGGCTGTGTTGTGCTGGTGGAGGTGGCAGCGGTGACAGTCACACTGGGGGCAGGGCCAGTGGACCCAGGCGGATTCAGTCCAAAGCTGAAGACAGGTTTAATGGTGGCATCTGTGGAGGAACTCTGGGTGGTGGCAGTTGTCGCTGCAGTGGTGAAGATGACGCTGGGAAGACCTGTGAATCCTGCCAGAGTAGCTGTGGAGGCAGCTGGAGGCTCTGAGGCTGGCTGTGCAGTGGGTTTGAAGGCAAAAGGAGAGACTTTCGTTGGAGATGAAGCTGCAGTGATGCTGCCAAAGATGGGCTTGAATATGGAGGATGTGGAGGATGTTGAGACAGGGCCTGAGCTTGCAGACACGGTGGCTGTGATGGAAGTGACAGCCGTGCAGACTGCTGCATTCTCACTCTTCGGCACAGCACCAAAGATGGGTTTGAAGACGGGGGTTGTGGTGGGCATGGCAGTGGCCGTGGTGGGCACAGCAGTGGATGCAGTGGGTGCAGCAGCGGCCATGGTGGGCACGGCAGTGGCCGCAGTCAGTGCTGGCTGGCTGGCTGGAGCAGTGCTCACCATCCCAAACAGGATGCTTGGCTTTGGGAAGGAGGGAGGCTTGCTGGGGGTCTGGCCCAGCTCAGTGAACACAGCAGGCGCCAGGCTGCTGGGGGGTTGCACCGCCAGGGCAGGGGGAGCACTGGGGCCAGGTGTGCTCAATACAGGCACAGGCTTGGTATCAGCAGAGATGGAAGGCAGAGAGCTCGACTCCAATGACACAGCAGGAGCAGGTGGCTGTGCAGCTGACGGAGGTGGCTGGGATACTGCTGCAATTCCAGCGGAGTCTGGAAAGGGGAGAGAGCTTATTTAGAGACAAGAGGGCACCTTCAGAAGCCTCTGCCAGGTACCCACCCATTGCTGCAAAGGCTCCCGGAGCTCTCATCACACCCTCCACAGTTACCATAGCCTCCAGCAGGATCAGGGGCTCAGTGTCCCCAAAGGTGTCCCCTCAAGCCCTGCCTCCTAGCTCTGCTGCCAGCAGAGCATTTGAACAGAGCCCTTTGTCAACTGCCTCACACAGAGGCAACGAGGAGTTCCTGCTCCAGATGCCCAACTCTGCTGGCATTCCACTGTGCCAACTCTCCTCCTCCTCACCTGGTGCTGTGGATACAGCTTGGCCGCTCTGCATCTTCTTCAGGCTGTCTAGGAGTGAGGAGCTGGCCGGAGCAGGAGCTGTGGAGGCAGGCATAGGCCCAGGAGAGGTCACAGCAAACACCAGCGGCTTGGACACAGACATCATCGCTGAAGCGGTGCTGGTCACTACATCTACAGGGAAACAGCAACATCTCAGGACCCACAACTGGCTGTAAGGAACAAACCCGTGGCAGAGCTTCCCAGCAGGTAGAACTGCACCTACCACCCTACAGTCCTGGGCAACCTCATACAGCACCACAAGGCATGAGATCTCCTCAGCTGGAAGGCATCAGGAGCACCCCCAGAACCAAGCTTGTTCCTACCCCTCCACATACCCAGCCCATCCTTACCAGCCTTATCCTCCAAGACACTGTTGAACCACTGCAGCACTGCCTTCTTCTCTGCGTCCAGGTCCTCTGAGGTGATGGAGTAGCCCAGCTGAGGTGGCGGGGGCTGCCAAGAGAGAGCAGCAGCAGCTTAGCTCCTTCCCAGGGAAGCGGGCAGAGCCTCTTTGAAGGTGTGCTGGCGACTGGCTGCAGCGAGCCCTATGAAGCAGGTGGTGATCCTGCAGCAGCTACCGCGGAGCTCCAGTCCCCAACTCTGGTGGGCCCCGGCGTGGCACTGAGGGCACGGCAGGCCTTCCCCAGGCCATTACCTGGTCCGGCAGCAGGCAGCACAACCACACACAGCCCACCACACATTGGGGCTGGGGAGAGCGTCACTTCCCACTCGGCCAAGGACGGGGCCTCCTTCCTGAGGGCAGGCAGGTCAGTGTGCCCCCAGCCCTGCAGAAATTGCAGTGAGCACATTCTATTGCCAGAGCGGGGCCAAAGGGGCTGTGAGACAGTGACGTACCAGCACCAGCTGGTCCCCACGGAGAGATGACAGCAACGGGATCTTCCGTTTGCGCTTCCCACTGCTCCCCAGTGCAGATGGCGGGCTCAAGGAATTCTGCTTCTTCCACACCGGTGACTCCACCACTACAGAAGGAAACAAGTCAGGCCAAGCTCTGGGCAGAGACGTGTTTGGTTCTATTGATGGGGCTGTCCCTTCTGACCCCGCTCTGGGTGGCCCTGCTCAGAGGCCAGGGCCAGGGCCCCAGTTTGAAGCTGATGACAAAGCTGTGATGCCCTGGAAGAGCAGCTTCACACACAGGAGGTCTGTGTGTGTCAGAGGCTAGTGGGGCTCTGTGGGGCAGCAGCCCCTTCCTAACTCCAAGGATGGTGCCAACACATTGCCTACCCAAAGCACATGCCACAGCTGGCACTATATCATGGGGCTCATCTGCCATGGGCACAGAGAATTTCCTCTCTGTTTTAGCTAAGGAAGCACTGGAAAAAGCTCATACTGGAATTTCGTCAGAGTGCTACTCATGCCACAGCAGGCTGTGGATCAAGGCTGACACCTGACCCATGCTGGGTTGGGAGCTGGAGTTCCTCCTTGCAAGCCAGCTCCCAGGCATCTGCTAGCACCCCAATGCTGTCAGGATCCCCTTATCACTTGAAATCCCACTAGGGCAGTCACTGGGGCCAGCAGATGTGCCACTACCTTGGGAGCAGCACAAGTCATCTTTCCAGGTGACCCCTCAAGCCAATCCCACTGCAGCCCTCAGCTGCCTCCTGTACTGCTCTTTTGCTTGCACCAGTGATCCAGGTGCAGTGTCAGGGCACACCCACACTTACCTTTCTCTGTCTGCAGCTCCTTGTCTGATTTCACTGGGGTGGAAGCGTTGGAATGATGTGACTCCTCTTCCCTGTAAAGCAAAAGGGACAGTTAGGGTTAACCCTGGGCTCAGCCCTGTCCCCAGGGAGCAGGATGAGACTGAACAAGCTGGTGTGTTTATCTGTCTCCTGCAAACACATCTCAAGACAAGAGCTTTGCCCAACTCCAGACAGAGGAGCTTGGCTGAGCCTGTGCACCCTCCACAAGATGAGCCAGTCTCAGGAGGGTAGCTGGGGGTCTCAGATGGCAGTCACTGCCCCTCACAGGTTGGGCCCACCCAGGTGGTTGTGTCAGTTTTAGTTCTGACATAAGCTCAGGCTCCTCTGACTCGGGAAAGAGGAGAACACAGGCTGTGCTCCAAGGCAGGCACAAAAATAGAGATCCTGGTATTTGACTTTGAGATGGCAAAAATCAAGGCCTGCCTCTTCCCAATGACCCAGCAATCCAAGGCCATGCCAATGCTACGAGGCACCATCACTACTGCAGCAACCTGTGCTCTTAAACCTCTGACCTGGCTTACGAGAGAGCCAGGGGATGACATTGCTTGGACACACCACAGCATGACATGATGACAGGGAGGCCAAGTGACACAAGTGGGTGTCTGTATCATTATGTCTAGGAGAGAGGCCTGGACTCTCAGCTCCAGTGGAAAGTGGGACTTGCATGCTAAGATGGATGGGAAAGACTGCTCTCCTGCTGGCTGGCCATTGGCGAGCAGGCACTTGCCAGGTCACCAGCTGATTACCTGGCTTTCTTGAGAGGCCACTCTGGTGTCTGGGGGCGGGAGGACGCTGGGCTGGACAGAGGGGACATGCTCACACCACTTCTCTTCCACAGCTGGAATGCAGAGAAATACCAGCAGTAACTTGGCATGGGTCTGGCAGAGAGCACAGCCCCCCTCCTCCCTGCTCACCCACACTAAGCCCCACTTCCCAGAGCCATGGCTGTTGAGCCCAATGAGCTTAGAGCTTCTCCTGCTTCACCACCTCTTAGACTCCCCTCCACATTTTAGAGAGCACAAAGTCTGGCCACCCCAAGCTGAATTTACATGAGGAACAAGTAGCCTCCAGTGCCTTTACTACCCTGGCTGACCACAGAGAGGGAGAACACTGCTGGGCCCGCTCTTGCCATTTTGTGACACAGGCAGAGGCCACCCAACTGCTTTGGACACTCTCATGTGTGGGGCTGCTCTGACAGGAGCCAGCACCTCCTTGCCAGGAGTTCAAAGCAGATGAATCCCAATGCAAAGGTCAGACTCTCTGCAGCCCCAGCAAACCTCTCCCCACACCGACAGAGCTCCAGCAGCCATGGCTATGTGTCCTATCTGCAAGCCCAGCCAGGCCACAAGCAGTGAGTGCTCCATCGCAGTCAGCAGGTGGTACCTGGGTCAGAGTGGAACACATGGCTCCCACACTGCTGACTCCAGCTGAAAAGATGCCAGCACAGCAAAACCATTTTGTTTTCTTTCACCTGGATCTATCCAGTCTCTCAGACTGGCCAAGAAGGAGAGAGGGAAAACAGTCTCATTCTTGGTTTGATGTAAAAGCAACAGTACAGCTCAGCCTGGGACTCCTCCAAAAGGCAGATAATTGCTGCTTGGCCCGTGGCCCACAGCCCACCTGATCCCCAGGGTGGTGAGACTGCCACACTGAGCCACACTGGGTCCAGGCACTCAGCCACACCAGTGTCTCCTCATGAGCCCAGAGCTGGCATTACATGGGTGATCCCAAAAGAATGTCAAGACACAGTGTCCCTACCTGTGTGAGGCCCCGGCTGGAGCTGTAGGAGCTGGCAATGGCGTTGCGGATGGAGCTGGGGATCCCACCAGCATAGGTGTTGTTGAGGGAGCTCATGGAGGAGGTGCGAGACCTCTTGTTGGAGCAGTCATCGGGGCACTGTGAGATAAGGCCCCTCTTCAGAGAGCCTGGCCTGAAGGGGAATGAAGGTTTGATGAGCTCCTCACGACTCTTGTCCACCAGTCCTTTCCACACAGGACAGATGGAGGAAGGCAATCCTGCTTAGAAACACCCCTCAGCAGCAGCACAGCCCTACTGTCACAGGGTGACAGACTGAAGGCACAACCAGAGTTTCTCTTGCTCTGACCTGAAGCCAGGCTCTGCAAGCAAAGCCCAAGCCTCCTTTTCCAGATCCCACAGACATCTGCTCCCTCCCATCCCAAGAGTTGCTTCTGGCCCGTTGGGCACTTACTTGGGTATGAGAGAAGCAGGGGCACCATTGGCTACCAGTGGCTCAAATGCTGACTGCCCACTTCCACTGCTGTCATGGCGCCTGTGGGAAGAGAGTATGAAAGCCTATGACAGTGTAGAAGCCACTTCCAGCGTGGAGAAAGGCAGGCTGAGCACCCAGAGAGAGAGCAAACCTTGCTTTTTTCCTGGTACCCAATACCCAAACAGAGCTAACCCTAACCCTAACCACATCCACAATCTGCTGCATATTTTCTCTCCCTGTGGGCCTGTCCTCACTGACTCTCACCCCAAGCACCAGGAGCTCCTCCAGCTGCCAGCTGGGCACAGTAGTTTGGTGTAAAAAAAAAAAAAAAAAACCAACAAAAAACAAAGAACAAACAACTTTGCTTAAATCCATTATTCAAAGCCAAAATACTTCCAGAAATGAGTTACAGAGCCTTTCTGAACAGACCTGAGCTCTGCAACTCCCATCTCTGACCTTTTCCTAAGCAGTGCCTTGGATGGTTCAAGTCAAAAACTGAATTCCCATTCTCACTATGATTTCATGAGAATCTGAAACGTCAATATCACAAAAGACACCCTGCTGCAAAGTAGAGCTGGAGGTGTAGGACAGCCCTGTCACCTGGCCAGGTGCTCCCCTCAAGCCCAGAGCATGCTGACCCCAAGCCACACTCTTCAGCTGACACAGCTCCTTTCTCTCCACCAAGAACACGGAATTTTCTATCTAAAAGCATTCCTCATGCTTGCCAGACATTAATGCCTTCAAAATTAGCTTTTGTAGTAGAGCTGTGTATTGGGATATTAAAAACCAGTTTAAAGAAAAACACCCTGAGCTGATCCTGTCTGTGCACCCATTCTGCTGTCATCCTGACTAGCTCTTGTGGGGTTCAGATCCAATAAGCCAAGCATTCAGAAATGGGAATTCAGTGCTGGAGGAGGACGGTGTGCCCTGCTCTGCTCCCTAGGCCACCTCCAGCAGTAGCAGCCCTGGTGCAGGACAATGCCCCAGGCACCACCCAAACAGGGTCGCAGCTCCCCATCCCAACGTAGATAGAAGAGCCTCCATGGACAAAGCAACTGTTGGAGCAAGTCCAGAAAGAAGCTACAAATTTAGTAAGGGGACTGGAGCACACCTTCCCTATGGAAACAGGCTGAGACATCAAGGGCTGCTCAGCCTGAAGCAGAGAAGGTTGTGTGGAAATCCCAGCAGCCTTTGAGGATCTGAAGGGGCCTGCAAAGAAACTGGAGAAGGACTGCATTAAGAAGTGCACAGATAGGACAAGGGAGAAAGCCTTCAAATTGAAAGCAGGATAATTTAGGCAGGATACACAGAAAAAATTCTTCCCTCTGAGAGTGGTGAGGCCCTAGCACAGGCTGCCCACCCCTGGAAGTGTTCAAGACCAGTTTGGACAGGGCTTGGAGCAACCTGGTCTAGAGGAGAATGTCCCTGCCCATGGCAGGGGGTGGCACTGAATGAGCTTAAAGATCCCTTCCAACCCATATCATCCTGTGATTCTAGGAAAAGCAGGAGGGTGGGATAGCAAGGCAGTGCTGTGGCTGGGTGGTTGAAAAGGTTCTGGCAAATCGCCACTCTCCTTGTCCTTCCTAAGACACTGACAAAAACATGACACCCTTCCTCCATCGAACGCAGGGATGGAAGCTGCTGACCTTGAATAACAAAAGCAGCAGAGTCTCACTTGCTCTCTCTTGTTTCACCTCCCTCTACTAAATCAGATCACAAGGGAAGTGCTTGGAGTCCTCCAAGTGCAATTCTTCCACCTGGTAATCCCGTCTCTCCTGGAAGCCCGGGGCTGACAGAAAGACAGACCCCACAGCAGATACCAACATTTTCCACCATGCTTTCCCAGTCTGCAAACCCCCGTGAGGAGACAAGCTACTTCTCACCCAGGCTCCCCAAAACACATCCCAGCCAGGAAGGGGAACACACTGGACCCACACCTACACCGCCTTCCTTTGACTGCAAATGAGGACTTTTAGATCACAGGCTGGGTGATGGATGGGGTGTGCTTCCTCTCTGCAGTTCACTTCTCACAGTACTTCTCCAGCCCTGACTCCAGGTCTCATGGGGCCCGGCATGCTCTGGGACACATCCCATTTGTCATCTCTGGAGCAAGAATCCCATTTGTGACCTTCCCACCACACTGGCTACAACTTGAACTGCTCCCTTTTTACCTTCTTTTGCTCTCCTGATCATTCCCAAAAGTCTGGTCCTCCTCCTCCTCTTCCTCCACAGCCCTTTTCCTGTTCTCCCTGATGGCATTCAGCACAGTCTCCTTCGCGCACGGGTCAGGGCTGCTGGTGGCCGGGAAGGCCAGAGGCGAGACCAGGTGCTCTAGACTGTTGAACAGAGCAGAGTGAGGTGTGAGACAGGCTGGGGTCCCCAGTCTGATCCTCCCACGGAAGACACAGGTCTCCCATGCAGCTTCCCGGACGTCTTGACAGCCCCATCCTCCCAGCCACATGGCAGCACTCGGGATGGGATGCTGCTCCCGGGTACAGCACAGATGTCTGAGGGCTCCCCCCGTATGTCCCGACCCCCACTGTGGCTGATAACCGAGCTCCCCCAGGTGTCCCGGCCTCCCCCGTACTCACGCCGGTGAGCGGGCGATGCCGGCAGCCGGCGGGGCGATTCTCACGGTGACGGGGCTGCGAAGCGGGCCGGCACGGCGGGCCCAAGGCGCGCTGCGCGGGGAGCCGCCCTCCCAGCGGGCGGCGGGCAAGCACAGCGGCACGGCCGGCCGGCCATCAGGCAGCGGGTACCGGCGGCGCGGGGCCTGCGGCCGGCAACGCGGGACCCTGTGGGGACAGAGCGCGGTCAGCGCCTCCGACGCGGTCTGGGGCTTCCCCACCCGTTCTACCCCCATCTTCCCCTTACTTACGCAGGCTGGGAGCGACGCGGCGCGGCCCTCGCGGCCGGGCCCCCGTTTGCCGCGGCTTTGCCGGGCGGGCGAGGCGCGGGCGGGCCGGACCGCATGGCGCACCAGGCGCCCGCTGCGCCCAGCGCCGCCGCGCCCAGCAGCACGCTCCGCAGCAGCAGCCAGGCCAGGGCGAGCGCCAGCGCGGCGGCCACGGCCAGCGCAGCCCTCACAGCCCCATCCCGCCGGCCGCCCGCCCCCGCGCCCGCCATCGCCGCGCGCCCGCCGCTCCCGGCGTGCTCTGCGGGGCGGGGCAGGGCGGGCGGGGCGGAGGCGGGACCTAACGGCAGGGCGGAAGCTGCCCGAGTGGGCGGAGCTCAGGGGGAGCGCGCCCGGCCCTCTCCGCACGGACGGCGGGGGCGAGGCTCAGAGGGAGGGACACGCCCGGCAGGCGGGACCTCCGGTCTGAGCGCGACCAATCCTGCCACCATGCACGGAGGGGGCGGGGACCCACGGGTAGGCAAGGCTTAACGGGGAGGGCGGGGCCGGCCCTCAGGCGTCAGCGGGGGCGTGGCCTCATGGGGCGGAGCTTCTGTGGTCAGCAGCGCTTGTAGCGCTTTACGGGGTGGGCGGTCCCGGGTCACCGCCGCCCTGTCTCCATGGGCTCCCGGCATGCTCTGTGCGGGGCGAGGCTCCGGGCCCGCGTCCCCATTCCACCCCCTTGACCCCTCATGGCACCCCTGTTCTTCCGTCTCGTCGTCCATCTCCCCTGACTCAGCCCATGTTCCCACCCGGACCTTCGGGCCTGCCCCATTCCCATCCCGTCCCCACTACGTCTCCCCCACGCTCATTTCAATTTCCCCATCTCTACTCAAATCCGCAGTCCTGTTTACCACCGCAATCCCCATATCCTCCCTCTTTCGTTCCTTGTGTTCCTATCCTGTCTCTTAACAAACCCCCTACATCATTCCAGCCTCTGTGTCCTCCTCTCTGCCCCTCCCTGTGTCACTTTCCCCATCCTGTCCCCCACAGCCCCTCCATGCCATTCCAGCCTCTGTGTCCCGCTGTCCCAGTCCCTGTGTGTCCTCACATGTCCCCGCATCTGACCGCATGTCCCACGTGCAGGAAACTGAGGGCACAGTCCTGCCTCTCCCCAGCCACCACCATGTCCAGCCTGTCCCCTTGTCCCCGCTGAAGGGTATCACTGCCACCATCCTGCTCTCAGGACAGGGCTGGGAACTGTGGGAAATTCTCTCTGGTTGACTATGCCCTTTGGGTCCCCAGGAGACATGGCTATCCCTGGGGATATCCCACCCCACTTCCAGTCAGCTGTGTCCTGCAGAGTAGGGACCATGGCACACAGGGACAACAGCAGGGAAAATGACAGGGACCATGGCAGGGACAGCAGTTGCTGTCACAGGACTTTCTGCATCCCAGGGGTCCAGGTAGCCCTGGCAGGGCTGGAGGACACTATGTGCTGCCCAGGGTGGGTTAACCATGCTTAGGAGGGGACATTCTCGTGAGATCTCTGTCTGTGGACTTCATGGGCCACCCAGCAGCAAGATCCCCTTGCCATGGCTCTTCCGGGCTGACCGTACATGACAGGATGATCTGCATGGCCTCCCCACTGCAGCATCAGCCCCCCAGGAAGGGAGGACAAAGCCACCAGTGCTCCTCGGGGCTGGGCAGGGACCATGTCCTGGTGCCTTCCCAGCAAAAAGAGGTGACATGCAGGGCGGCCATAGGGACATGCAAGTGTGGGACAGTAGGAGCAAAGGCTGGAGGTCATTACCAGGACAACACCCGGGTCACCTCAACACCAAGTGATTTTGGGGGCCACTGAACACACTGATGAGGGCAGAGCCCACGACCCCCTTGTGACACAGGTCTCCTGTATCTCCCCCCACCCCCCCCCCCTCAAGCTGTGGGGCTGGGCTGAAGGCTTTATTGAAAAATCCAAAACAAACAACGTGGTCATTACTATCATACAATGAAAACTCAAATCAACTCACCCTGCAGTGGGGAGTCACCCCCACCATCCCTGTCACCAGCTGCCATGACAGGGGACACCACAGGGACTCTCTGCCCATGCCTGGCTGAGATACAAAAGGGACAAATGGATCTGGCCTACAGCAATGCCACTGTCCCCAAGCCCCCACTGCCACTGTGACCCCCATGCCACTCCCCAGCCCCAAGGCCTGAGGTAGTTGGGCGTGCAGGCGAGGCTCCCCCCACATGAAGCGGGGAGTTTTGGGGCTCCCTGTGTCCTGCAGGAACAGGATGGTTGGTATTGCATCCGAGGGGAGCCAGTTGGGGTTGAGGATGGGGAAGCAGCAGGACCCCCAGGGGGAGGTCCAGGTCCCTCTGGCAGGCTGATGCACAGAGCGGGTGGTCCGGCAGCAGAGCTGGCAGGGGACATGGGAACAGTGGGCCCCTGCATGCTGGATGGCTGCATGGAGGGGTGGCAACTCTGAGGCCACAATGGTGGCAGGTCCCACTGCTCCAGGTGCCAGCTGCATGCTGACGGGTGGGCGTTGCTGGGAAAGCACACAGTGACAGCCCAGCCCCTTCCCAAAGGGAGAAAGGACAAATCCTGTCCTCAGCACCCCGAGTGGAGGGACACTGGCCCCAGCAGGGGCACCAGCAGGACCATGGGGGATGGGGACATTGCTGCATGGTCTGACATTACTGTCTCCAATGCAGCGAGATGAGCTGGGGGGCCTGGAGGTGGCTGATGCCCCCTGCTCTCTGAGCCCCCTGCTCAAGGCACAAAGGTTCCCAGGCTGGTGCCAGCCCCGTGCCCACAGCCACAGCCAGGGGCCCTAGTCCCCCTGCACCCAAGAGGGTGGCAATGACAGCAGGGTGACACCAAAGTGAGCAAGGACAGGGAGCTGCTTACTCTGGCTTTGGGGTACTCTGGTTTTGGGGCACCCTGGCATTCCCCCCAAACCCTCTGTGCTGCTGCCCTAGAGTCACCCCTCCGTCCCCAGGAGCTGGTGGCTTGTGCGGTAGCACCGTGGTGGCCCAAACCCGCACCCAGCTCCTTGCAGAGGGTTTATTGCTGGCATGAACACAGTGAACTGTCAGGGCAGAGCAGCCCAGCTCGGGGTGGGGGGGGGGGGGGTGCTTGGGAGGCGTTTTGGGGACTTGGAATGAGAGGCAGGAGCTCATGGCAGCATACCTTCTGCTGCTGCCCCTTTCCTAGCTGTTCCTGGCACCCTGTATAACAGGCCAGGATGTCCCATGACAGCACCACCTCTCAGCCTGCAGCGGCCAAAGGCACTCAGTGTCCCCGCCAGGGGGAGCACACTTAGCACCAAGCCTAGCAGCACCCCAAAAGCTGTCCTCCACACGGTGGCACCCCCGGAGCCTTCAGCACAGCTCATTCCTGGGCGCGGGGGACGTTCATGTTGAGCACAGGGGATGGATTAAGGCTGGAAAAGCAGTGAGAGGCAAGAGAAGCCCGACCACTCCTGCTCAGCCAGAGACGGCTCTAGGAGTTCTCAGAATCTGTGCAAAAACAAAACTAAAGGGTTAAAGACCCCCACGTAGACACCTCCCCCCATCCCCAGCAGGTCTAATAAATACAGGTGGGGTTTGCACCCTTGCCCTGGCCCCAGGGTCTCGCTGGCCACTCGGTTCTGGTGCTGGAGGTGGCTCCTGGGGGGGGAAACAGGGGACGTGTGCTTCAGGGGGGCCTCTGCACCACTTCCTTGGGGATCTTCTCAACGGACTGCACCAAGTGGGGTCCCAGAGGTGTCCACCGCAGGGTCCCATCCCAGGTGCCCCTGTGGGCTGCTTCTACCACTGGTGCTAATCTGCAGCTATAGGTGGGAAGATATGGTCAGGGGGTGTGCTGTCCACCAGCACCCCTTTGCCCCATCCCTCTGGGACCAGAGGGCTGCTCTAGCAGCACCAGAGCCCCCCGCCTGGGGATGATGCAGATCCCACATGTTGGGGTCTTTCCTGTGGAGAGACCCCATAGGATTTGCCCACGTGTGCCAACTATCCCCAGGCTTGTGCCAGCTGCAGCAAAACCTCCTCACTGCCATGATGGCAGGCAGGGCTTCTCCACACTGCCCCACCTTTTCCGGAAGCAGCTGCCCAGCTGGAACACCACTCACCGTCCTCCTCCCAGCCCTCCGCCACACCAGCCAGCTCGTAGTGCTTCTTGCGCAGCTCCCCCAGCTTCTCCCGCTCCTTCTGCAGCTGATTCTCCAGCTCCAGCACCCGTACCTGGGGACATGGCCCAGGACACGTCCACCCTGGCACGGAGCTGGGCCAAGCACTTCCCTTTCACACCCGTTATGCCCCTAATATTGAGCCCAAAGACCACAGAGGAGCATCCCACGAGAGCTCCAATGATGAGTGGATCTGGGGAGGGGATGGATCTCAAGTGAGCACTGCTTGTGCAGGCAGGTGAAGGCACAATGATCTGTGTGGGCATCCCAGGCAGGGGAATTCTCCAGAGCTGCCCCATGCCAGGCAGAGGTAGGTGCTGCAGGTAGCACACAGGGGGCAAGGGTGGCCATGGGCTGCTATGTCATGATGGGAACAGCATGGGGGAGGCATTGAGGACCAAGTGCATGTGACTCCTGGGCAAACCCATCTGTTGCCTTCACACCCTGGGCTTCACCTTTGCTTGTGCTACCTGGGGGCAGTTGGGCATGGTGTCCCCAAATTTGATGCCCCACTCCAAGCAGCCCAAGAGAGACATGATCAGGTGCATTTCCCAAAACATGTGGGAATCTCCTACCTGCGAGTCCATCTCCTGACGCTTGATCTGGGTGAGTGTCATGTTGGAGAAGTCCATGCTATCTGTGGAGAAAGACACCACCAGCCCCCTTCAAGCTCTGCTCCCCCAGTCAGACCTCCCGGCAGCTCCCATGCTGCTGGAAGGATCTGGCACCATAGGATATGCAGGGAGGGAGTGAGGGGCAGCCATGGGCAGAGACCACGGGGCACAGACAACCAAGAGTGGTGAGTGCCAAGAGCAGAGGTTTTGGGGC